TGCCGCCGGAGTCCAATTTGGATGGGCCCTACAACTCTCCCTCCTCACCCCCTACGTCCAGCTCCTCGGCGTCCCCCACACCTGGGCTGCCTTCATCTGGCTTTGCGGCCCCATCTCCGGCTTGCTCGTCCAGCCCATCGTCGGCTATCACAGCGACCGTTGCACTTCCCGCTTTGGACGCCGTCGCCCCTTCATCGCTGCTGGCTCAGCCCTCGTCGCCGTCGCCGTCTTCCTCATTGGCTACGCTGCTGATCTTGGACACCTCACCGGCGACTCCCTTGAGAAGGCCACCAAGCCCCGTGCCGTCTCCGTCTTCGTGGTCGGTTTCTGGATCCTCGACGTCGCCAACAACACGCTGCAAGGGCCATGCAGGGCCCTCCTCGCCGACATCTCGGGATCCGACCCGAAGAGAATGCGGACTTCCAACGCGCTGTTCGCCTTCTTTATGGCTGTCGGAAACGTCCTAGGTTACGCCGCTGGGGCCTACAACAACCTCCACAAAATGTTCCCCTTCACCAAGACCAAAGCCTGCGACATCTACTGCGCCAATCTCAAGAGCTGCTTCTTCCTCTCCATCGCCCTCCTCATCACCCTCACCGTATTGGCCCTCACCATCGTCAAGGAAACCCCCGCCGACGTCGCTCCAGACGAGCCGGAGGAGGAGTCAACGACAACTCCGAAGGTGCCCTTTTTTGGTCAAATGATTGGGGCATTCAAGGAGTTGCAGAGGCCAATGCTGGTGTTGCTTCTGGTGACGTGTCTGAACTGGATTGCGTGGTTCCCGTTCTTGCTGTTCGACACTGACTGGATGGGAAAGGAGGTGTACGGCGGCCAGGTCCGTAAAGGGCGACTGTACGATTTGGGGGTGAGGGCCGGTTCGCTCGGCCTCTTGTTAAACTCTGTCGTTTTGGGGTTCATGTCTCTCGGGGTCGAGCATCTCGGCCGTTGGGTTGGTGGGGTCAAGAGATTGTGGGCTATTGTCAACTTCTTGCTCGCCGTCTGCATGGCCTTGACTGTTTTAATCACTAAATTGGCTGAGGCCAGCCGACACGGTCACATCGGAGTTGAGCCACCTCCGCCACCTGCCGGTATCAAGGCCGGCGCATTGTCTCTGTTCGCCGTGCTTGGCATTCCTCTAGCGGTAAGTCTGCAAATCTTTTTTACACGTTTTATTATTTCTTAATTAATTTCACAACCAATTTCTTACACAAAAGGAAAAAAAAAGATATCTGATACCAAATAATTATTTATTAATTAGAACAGATTTTCATTCGACAAAAAAAAAAAAAAAAACAGATTTTCACTTGGGAGCTTGGGGACTAATTAGTTTCATTGTTTTACCGTTTAATTTTTGGTGGTAACATATTTTTGTCTTGTTTTTCAAGAACCAAAGTGTTATCTGTTATCGTATTCAGTAGGCGTTTTCGTTTGTTTTTATCCGAAGTCTTTTAGTGCATGCAGAAAGGGTTTCATCATGCATTTACTAGGATAAGGAAAACTATTTTGCTTCTTTGAACAACTCCGCAATTGCGGTTTTATTTTACAAATTAATTTTTCATAATTTAAGGGGATTGATTAATTATGTGCGTGATTATTCTTTCTACCGCTAATATGGAAATGACTTATATAACGCAAATATCTTTAAAATGCATCTCATATTTATAAAATAAAAATATGAAAAAATGTTTTATTCACGTCATGTCACAGACTAGTCATAACCATGGTCTAAAATATCCATAATATCTCGATATTTCCATCAAAATTTCCGTGTTTTTGGACTACCGATATTTTTTTGGACTACCGATATTTCCGATAACATCGATATTTTAGACCTTGTATAAAGTGTAAAATATTCTACTAATTCATTGTATATAAATAAGTATGGTGTGTTTAAACTTCTTTCGTTAATTACTACATATTTTCTATACTCACAATGTTTGTCAGCTCGCTATATAATCAACTTAAATTAGTTATATCTATCATGCAATGCATTTCCTTCTAATTTTTTGTGATAAACTAATAGATAATTGACTAAATAAACATTATGCAAAGTTTCAATAAAAATTTCCAAGTTTTTCTTACAATTTATGTGGTTTTTATTCAATTTTTATCGATATCGATAATATCCCGATATTTCCATCTAAATTTTCGTATTTTTAGACTACCGATATTTCCGATATCATCAATATTTTATACCTTGGTCATAACATACAAATTAATCTTCTCCGGCAGCATCTACCTTTTTTTCCTCGTTCTTTTCGATCCCATCCTTTTCATCGATAATAGTTCACTTTTCCTGTTTTGTATTTGTCGGTACAATTCCCACGTTTTTCTTTTTGTCAAGGCCCACATCCCATGTTATTCAACTCCTTTATTTCGAAGATTTTTTTTTTAACGTGTTCGGAATACGGGAGAATAAGTCATACCTTATCATGTAAGTTGAGAAAAGTTTTTTTTTTTTTTTTTTCCAAAATTATTTATTTATTTTCACTTATATAATGACATATAACGTATGTATTCGTGTTTTGAACAAATTAAATCTCTCCTTTTAATCAACAACTTTCCCCATTCTCAAAATTAAATTGAACAAAACAACTTTTCATAATTCTCAAGCATTTAATCAGTTGAAGGCAAAGTGAAAGTTAGATGCAATTCATTTTTACATTTAAATAAATCCATCCATATGTGATGTGACAATTAAGGAATATTCATTGACCTCTGCTAATTTTAACGAGTTCTGACCCTTGTGGGATTTTTTTTGTAAGGATTCTGAGGATCCGTGAATCGTGTTCGTTTATCGTACATCGTGCGATCAAAATTTATTTTAAATATTTTTATTTAAAATTAAATATAAATAATACTTGATAAAAATTAATCATACGATATACGATAAACGTACACGATTTACGAATCTTCAGGATCCTCACTAAAAGGATCTAGAGAGAGCATCATGTTGGAATTTTACCTACCACCTAATCATGTTTTTTGTTATCTTTACACAGGTGACGTACAGTATTCCCTTTGCTCTGGCATCCATATTTTCCAGCAATTCTGGTGCAGGCCAAGGTTATTTAACTTAATTTTTAGACGTATTAATTATACTAATTTTCCAAAACCTGACAAATCATTATGTTTTGGTGATTAATATTTTCTGAATTCTCCTATTTTCTATCTTTAAATTAAAACAGGGCTTTCTTTGGGAGTTCTAAATCTTGCAATTGTCGTACCACAGGTACGTAATGCTTCCCTAATTTCATCTCTTTAGTAAAATTTCCTTGAAAAAATACATGTTATCTTACATTTTAATTCAAATTAACTACATAGTTAATTACTAAAATATTGAACTTGCAGATGTTTGTATCCGTCGTAAGTGGACCGTGGGATGATTTGTTTGGAGGTGGTAATTTACCGGCATTTGTCGCCGGCGCGGTTGCTGCCGTCGCAAGTGGAATATTGGCTCTCTTTATGCTACCGTCTCCGCCACCCGATCTTCCATCGAACAAAAATGCAAGAGCTCCTGTTGTTGCCTTCCATTGATTTGCTTGCCCTACCTCTTAACTTCTTAAGAAAAAAAATCAATACCGTATGCATCCAAGCGTAAGCAGGATATATTTAGTCGCACTTTTTCTTCTTTTCTTGTATTTATTTCTGTCAAGGTTTTATGTTCGTCATAAAAGACGTCAAGGTTGAACCCCTAAATCTTTAGCTTTGTATAATGAAGAAGAGCATTTGAGTTTTCATTATTGTTTCGATTCTTTTTATTAGCGCTTACGAAAAGTAATCATGCCGCTCCTCCATGTATAATGTTTTTTCTCTCGTGTATTTTTTCATGAGAGGAGTACAGGTTGACTATATTGGAGCTTGGGATGGGCAATGGTTATGCGGCAGGTAACCGCGGTTAATTTACCCATAACCGTTTATGCTCATATCCGCATAACCGTTTACCGTTGGGTAATTGCTTAAACGGTTATACCCATACCCATAACCGCATACCTATTTAACCGTAACCGTTTAATACCCGTTTACTCATTTATCATTTTTAACCAGTTTATCTTTTTTTTTTTTTTTTTACCATTACCATTTTTTCACCCGTCTACATGTTTTTTAACAACTTGAAAATTAAAAAAAATTGGCACAACCCATTGAAGCTGCTTCTTTAAATTCGAGAAAATAACATACTTTTTCTTTGCTTCTCTCAATAAAACTCATAGCGATTTAAAGGAACGAACTTTAACACATAGAGAGAGATTCAGAGTGATTTTTGGGAGGTTGGGAGAGGAGGGTCAAATTGGAAGAAGAAGGAACCGACTCAGAGAGGAGAGAGGAGGGGGGTTATGTGTAGGCGCCACAGCCATGTTGTCCCTCTCTAAAGAAGTAAGGAAAATGACGAAATGACGACGGCCAAACGCAGAGGCAGTCATGTATTAAAATAAATGGGTAAACGGTTATTCGTTTATAACCGTGGTTAATACTCATAACCGTCCATTTAAATTTCGCGGGTAAACGGTTATACTCATAACCGTTTATTTATTTAAACGGTTACCCATAACCGTAACCGTTTAATTTAAATAGACGGATAACCGCAGTTACCCATAACCAATGGATATTTGTACATCCCAATTTGGAGCCAATGATATCACATTTCTTTTTGCCTTTCATGTTTTTTATCGTCAATAGAAATGAAAATTTCATTTCCGGGCCTAAAAGGAGCAAGAACCAAGGGCAATATGTCCAAATTATAGTGTTTATCTTGTCTGTACATTTTAGTCTGACGGTTCTTGTTCAATGTGTATATACGATGTGTTTTTAGTATTGTGCATTAGAGAAAAATCACAATAGAAAGACATAAATGGGTAAACTAATCATAAGAGAGAGAGAGAGAGAGAGAGAGAGAGAGAGATGTAAAGAGGGGTGAAGTCTATATTTCATCCATATCGAAAAAACTCTTTAAATTTCAGTTAAAATCGACATATTTATGCAAATTTCGGACAACGGATAAGTATCATTCATTTTAATTTTCACCTTTTTGAGCAAATTTCATCATTTTCATCAAAGGCAGCTGATATCAATATCAATATATCCATCGATATTTCCAATGATACCAATATTTTAAGCACTGATTGTGACTAATGTGTGTGTATTCATATTACATTCATGAACGGACATAGAATTTCCTCAATAATGAGTGTACAATTTCAATTATTGTTATAGCCCATCAGGTGCAGCGAAAGCGCGCTTCGAGTAAGGCAGTAGCATCCTTAGGCAGAAATTTTGAGATATGAGTCGCCCTTGTACTTTGAGTACAACGGAAGTTCAAGAGCTTCCTCCGCAATTCGCCCGTCCTCATGAATCTTTTCTATCAAGCTCTCAAGCGATGAGAAATTCGCCTGTTTCAGTCCATACCCAAAAATTAAAACAAACGATAGATGTCAGGACACGAACGACCATTCGACACCTTCCACAAGAAAATGGACAAGTTAGAGTAAATACCTCAGGCCGTATGTAGCCAACTATGATAAGACGCAGTTCTTCCCCATAAAAATCCTCATCGAAGTCATGAAGCAGCCATGGCTCCTGCATTACAAACTAAATTTAAAAAACAAGCCAAGAAGAAAAATACTTGCAAGGGCAACCGTGAGTGTCTTGGAAGACTCACTATGGTCTTTTCGGTGTTGTTGAAATAAGGATTCCAACCAATACTCATGACCATTTTGAAGACACCCCGTGTTGATAATCCAGCCCAACCAAAATATACTCCCGAGGGATGTTCGGAAAGAAGAGATGCATATCCTTCTGTGGATAAATTTGCTGAAGAAAAGATGCAGTGCGCTAATAAGGATACAAAATGAGGAAAGGGGGCAATTTAATTGAGCATAACAGGAAGAGAACAGCAGTTATATCAGAAGCATTCAAAATATTGGCTACCTATTTTTACCACAAAAAATGTGCTACAATTAACTGGGATATGTCGTCTCCAAATAAGAACACGAGTTATGTGCTACACTCTAACACACCTGTAGGGATCCCGAGTACTTTTGAGCCCCGACCAAATCCCTTAACAACTGGACCACCAATATGCCAAGGTTCTATAGGTAAAGTATCTTTTATCCCTGCAACAACAAATTAAATAAAATGAAAATGACTTCTGCAGCAGAAACTCTCCATGGTTGAACAGAGACACAGATACTGGGATTTACAATCTTGGAAAGGAGGTAGGCCCCACATTTCAGGTCGCAAATCAAGCAGAGAGTTTATCACCTCATCCGCTGATGTATAGAGATGTGACTGCTTTGGGATGGAGGGTACAGCGACCACCTCCATTCCAGCAGCCTTTCCAGCTGTAACACCTGGTCTGACAAAACCCAAATACGAAAATGTTCAAGGAAGAAACTCAAAGGAAACTGACATCAGTTTGAAGACCATACACACATCATAAGGAGGAAATTTAGCATCTAATATGCAATTATCAAAGGAAAGAATCTTAATGAAGGAGAGAACATATTATTATTCGTTTATAGCAAATTGCCATCTATAACTGAAATTACTAGTTTTCACTAGAAACACTGCACACATGCGCATGTCATGTGCATTGTGATGGAAGAAGAGTGACGCACGCATTAAGAAGACAAAAAAACTAGAATTTGGGAGAGAATAAATGGTAGCCAGAAAGTGGGTTTAATTAATTCATTAACCTAGTATTCAAATTAATTATTGGACTTGTCAATATGAAAGAGCCACAATTTACATTTTCAAGTCCGTTAACAAAAGTACAGATAAATAGTTTATATATGAGCCAGAAAAGCAATATGATTTATATTCGAGTACAGCATGCACAAGCCTTATCAAATTTAGGCTACATATAACTTTTTTGAAATAAGTATTTGTATATAGAATAAAATAAAAATGGCAAAAATAACAGTTTTCATTCAGGCTCTATCAAGAAGTTTTAGATGTAATGTAAACAAGGTTAGTTAAAGAGAACATGATGAAAACTATAACACTCAAAAGAAAAATGTTCCCTGCCACATTTTTTGTTTTAACTCTAATAAAAGAACCAGAGTAGGTATACGTACAGAGAATCTTCAATGACAAGGCAGCTGGAAGGTTCAACATTGAGCCTTTTAGCAGCTTCAAGGAATCTACATGCAAAACAAATATTTACAGTTTTAGAACACTATATATCTTAGCCGACCCCACTTAGTGGGAAAAGGCTTTGTTGTTGTTGTAGAACACTATATATCTCATCCATGATAGAATAAACTCAAGTCAATATACACAAGTTTTTGCATCTCACATTTCAGGAGATGGCTTCCCCAAACTTACTTCATCACCACCAATGATGACTGAAAAAGATTCCTTCCAGCCTGCATATGAAAACAATAAGTAAATAAGTACTTGTTTGGTATGATAAGACTAACTCATAATATCATGGATAAATCTGATACTAGACAATTAATGACGTAAGACATAAGCAAACACTGCATGCTTTTCAAGAACAGCAGTATACCCTGATGAAAAGAAAGTTTGGTTTCAATGTTTTCCTTTGGAGAGTTTGAAGCCAATGCCATTGGCACTCTATGACCACTCAAATGTTTAAGTAGCCGATAGGAACCTGGAAGCGCTTTAATGTTGCACCACCTATAGTGACAATTGTCAAAATCCAATCAACAGTTTTCCAACACATAACAGGCAAAACAAAATAACTTGGTACTAGCAACAAAAAGTCTTTCTAAACAGACATAAGAACAAGTATAGTAGTTAATTACTGATTGGAGAACAATGGGGTAATCTCTGAAAGTAATTCATTCGTTGTACACGATAACCCATAATCTTCCACAACAGCACTTGCAGCTTCAAGTGGTGTTTTTCCAGCTATTTTTTGAACTTCCCGCCCATCCCACTGCTTTCCATACTTACCCAAATAAACTTTCAAAACTTCACTTACAATACCATCTGTGATTAATTAAAACAATGAAAAGAAAAAGAGTCACCAACACCAGTAGAAAGCAAATAGCTACATGCAAGAATCAAAATTGATCCAGCAAAGAAAAGCCAAAAGAAGCATCAGTCCCTTATCACATACCACACTAAAATGACATTAAAGTAATACTGAAAATGCTCTTCAGAGCACAGACCTGTGTTCAGTAGTGTACCATCCAAATCAAGGATAATGCAGGACACCAATTTCTTTAAAGGCCGTGCAGTTGACATCTTCCCAATTATGCAGAAGACTCACAGTTAGATTTATGTTCCCACTGTTGAAATAGATCTGAAGCAAAGACAGATTTTTAAATTCATTGACTGAAATTCTAATAACTAATCCAAGAAATTCACCAAATTTCAATCCAACCGAAATTTATCGGCCATTTATTCACAGAAATAGTTGCCACTAGGAGGTGGTAATAACAACTAAAAAATTATTAAAAATAAATTGAGCATAATTTGTAAGTTGTTCAGTTTTGACTAACATTATGTTAATTTATACTAACAAATGCATTGAAAAATAAAGATTGTAGGTAATAACAACTACAAAATTATTAAAAATAAATTGAGCATAATTTGTAAGTTGTTCAGTTTTGACTAACGTTATGTTAATTTATACTAACAAATGCATTGAAAAATAAAGAGTAAGTGAAATTGGATACATACCTGGGTTGAGAATTTGAATAACGTCTCAGAAAAGATAAGTTTTTTTGCAGTTTAGTACAACAAAGATGGAAATTGGTGTCTTATGCAATAAAATATATTTAGTGATAGCATTATATAATCTTTAACACAATCTTACGAAAGCAAAAAGCACTTGCAAACACACTCAATTGCTTGAAACCTTGACAGCTGAAAGCTACTTCAGCAGCTAAAATTATTGTAGGAACCAAGATGCGGCAGAGATTTTTTTCAAATTGAAATTAACCTGCAGATGATTGCAAACACAAAAAAATTCATTTTCAAATAAAGATAAAACAAACTTAAAATATTTACAGGCTACTTTCAATAACAGGAGAATAAAAACAAAGCTTTTATCAACATGACTCTCAATTTTATGCAGATTAGCATAATCCAATTTAAGGGCAAAACAGACAGAATTTACAAAATAAAAAAGAAACAAACTGAAAGTCTAATCATGACAGATAACAGTGTAAATGTTACTAAAATAACTTGACACATGGTAAAAACCGAAACAACTCAATTAAACCCAAAAATTAACCATGATCATCCATATGTGTTCCTTAGAAATGTTTAGCCCTCCAATGCTTTTGAGATACTTTGGTTCTGTTCGTCATTTATTTTATAAGAATGTGTGATATCATTTTATTCCAATAGCATATACTTAAGATTTTGATTTCTTTTCTTATGTTATATTCCTGGTTTTGGTTGTCCAGCAGAGGTTGAACTAATGAGTCCAAAGCAGCAGACCACTAACTTAAAATGACAAACCACAATTTATCTCTCCCCCTCTACCTCCCTCACTTGTCAAACCAAACTAATAACCGATTCTGAACTTATCAAATCTAATAAGTGCAAAAAATTATAATCAAAACCAAATAAAAATCTAAACCCAAGCTCTGATTTCAATATAATCGACAACAAAAAAGCAAATTCAAGTCCAATATAACCAAATACCAAACAAAACTCTAAATCAGAACTCTAAAATCTTGAAATTGCTCACCTCAAATACACATGGCTCTGAAGGCTGCAAACAAAAGCCCCAAATCCAAAAAACCACAATTTCCTAAAGCCAAAAACAAAACAAAATTAGACACCATGATGGGGAATCCGAACCTACAAACAAAATCCCCAAAATCACGATACCCGAAATCACAATAACAAAAGAAAATTACCTAGATGCACAACCTGAAGAGCTCACCAAGAAACCCTAGCTCTTCTGCGCAAGAAATTCCTTCAAATCAAACTGAAAAACTGAACATGACTACCTGAATTCAATAAAAATAAAAATACAATCAATTTACTGCTAACAATCTTTTTTCACCAATGAGAAAAAAAATCCAAATCAGTCATATTGTTTCCTCAATATGATACACAGTTTTTGTCCTGATCTATTAGTCATATTGTCTCCTCAATTTTTAACCTATAACATGTAATCCTCTGGATAACCTTTCTAGCTCTTCAGAGATAATGGTTAAGCTAATCTGCGCCGCAATGAAACTGTGAAAGGAAATTTATCTGAACTCACATAGACTACATTTCAATTAGTTTCATTTTAAAATTAAGCAGGAATCATGAAAACCATCTGTTTTGTTGTAAGAGCTACTAAACCCTATACGAGGAACATCATAAATTACGCGGCTGCACACGCAGAGACATAATTTGAAATTGGGGTGACCTGAACATTTAAGCCAAATCTACTTTAGAGGAAAGACTATCAAAAACTGCAGAGTTTGTTTTTTATGGCATTCCCTAAATTTTACACAACCTCTCAAAACTTTACACAATTTGGACCAAACTGAAGTTTCAGTGCACAACAAAAAGAAAAGCTCTCCAGCCCATAACTTGAAAACTGAATTTGAGAAACATAAGCTGAAATCTGAATCCCTAATTTCCTAAATTCCTCAGTCCTAATTTCCTATATCCCAAACCCTAATACAGAACAGCTAAAAGTCAGAAATTCAGAGCACAACAACTGTATAATTAAAAGAAGGAAATTAAAAATTTGCAGAGGAAGAACAACATATAATTAGAAAATAAGAAGAAGAAGAAGAAGTAAGATCGAAATGAAAAGAAACGCCGCCCACAACCCTGACAAAGCTAAGCTATCAAATCCAAAGTTTGATTATTGTGTTTTGGAAGTATATGAGTTTATGTTGAGAATTTTGATCCCGGAGAATCTCACCTCCACAGCTGTAATACGGTGGAAGAGGCGCGAAGAAGCTGCGCTTTGGCAGCCGGAGAAGATGACGGAGGTTCTACGGGGCCTGCTGTGGGTAGACGTTGGAGCGGTGTGGGTGTGGCTGGTAGTGGTAGCTGTTATGCGAAAGAATAAAACGTTATGGTGCTTGCGCCTGGGCGCTGTGACCGTGGTGTACGGGGCAAATAATTGTCTAAATATTTTAATGTGACTAACATAATGATATATGACGGTGTAATCGTGTTATATAAATCATTTTCGTGAATATGTGATGTTATCAATTTCTTATGATAGTTGCTAGACCCAAATATTGATGGCTGAGTCATAAATTATGTGGAAATGATGAGTGATTTATGATTGAATTGCGTAGAATCAACTTACTTGAGAAGTGTGTAGATTGAGATAGTTATAGAGCGTAAGAACCACTTGTTTAGAGTTCTCATGCTATGTGTCGTTCTAATTGGCTAGACCATGTTATTTGTTGGATGCACTTAAAAAAGAATTTTAAGATGTTGAAATATCGTAAGTATACTAAACAATAATTCTTAGAGATATTACTAAATAAATAATAATATATGAATTATTTTAGAGATCCTTGTCAGATTTGATTGTGTTTCTTGAATAAAGAAATGTTCCTAATTAGGACAATTTAAAGGTAAAAACTAGTTATTAGCTTTACATTTATAGGTAAAGAAGCTTGAAAAATTGTATGTTCCTTCGTTGGTTGAACTAGTAAAATAAATGTGAGCCTCATCAATCAAAAAATACGTTCTCATCAATTAGGAGTAAAAATTTACATCACTTTCAAAATTTTATGAATTAATTATAGCCCCACGCATTTTTCTTAATCAAATCGAACAATCTAACCTTCCCTAGATGGTCAATTCATAACTTTTGATTTAACCTACTGTTCGATTTAATTCATAACTTTGCTTTTTTTTTTCTCTTCAAATAAACGTTATTATTTATAAGTTTAGTTTCTTAATAAGTTAACAATAATATTCCGATAAAAGAAAAATAGTGGTAGACCATAGAACGGAATCATAACTTTGATGTAAAACTAGGAGTCCATGTTTCCACTTCCATTCATCAACGGCTCGTATCCGTCAGCATGGGTCCCATTCCGAAGGGCAGCTGAATATTTCACCTGTCCCCGCCATTTTATAAGTCGAAAGAAAATCAACTTTCATTACCAGAAACCTGAAATCATAGGTGACGATGGATTGCAGTTGCAGGGAGCTCCTCCTCCGTCAGGATTCCTATTCCGGCAACCCCTACATTCTTCTGCTCAACGATCTCTCTGTGATTCCCGTTTGGCATTACCTCTTCGCTTCCCTCGCGATTTCCTCTGCATTTCTATACCACTTCCTCGAATTCCATTTCTTCCAGGACCTTTTCACCGCCTTCAGAGGCTCCGCCGTCTCCTTAACCTTCAACCCCTCCTCCCACATCTACCAAGACGTCGTTTCCAAGTGCCGGATTCTCCATTCCAGGTCCCAATTCAATACTTTCTGATTAACCAACTATTAATTTTTTGATTTTGTTGGTCAATTAACTAATGAGTCGATTAATTTGCAGGTATTTGGCGACGCCGTGGCTCTCAAGCCCCCATTTCCAGACTCTTTTCGTCGGCTTCTTTGGGCGGCCTCCTGCTTTCACCTACCGAAGGTGCCCTTGCATCTGTCTTTAACTCGTGGACCCAATTATCAAATTCTGTGGGCAAAAGGGGGTTATTTATATTTTCGCATTTGGCCATCTGGGTCAGTTCGAGATTTGAAATTTCTGGTTGTTTTTGTGTGATGGGTTATGCTGCATCTGTGTGCATTGTGCATTTTTCGAAGTGAAATGTTTAGAGTATTAGTGTACCACTGCAAAACCCAATTCAGCTGGGATTGTTACTACAAATCTTCGTATGTGGATTAGGATTTTAAGAACAGTAAAAACACACTAATTTACTTTTCTTTTAGTTTGTTTAAACAAAATTTCAGACTTGGACTTAACTTGAATTTTGAGGGGGTTTGCTGCAAACTGCAAAGCAAATGGTGAGGTATTATATGAGTTGTCTGTCTGGTAGATATGTTAAACCAGAGTGCTCTCAGTCTTTGAGTTAGTGTGATTGTGTGAGGGGGTTTTAGTGTTCAGTGGATTTTATATATCGTTTGATATATGTTTGATTTCGTTTCGTTCAGGTGTAGTCTTGTCGATATATTATTTTAAAAAAAGTTATAACAATGATCATTTGAATAGGAATTTGATAGTAATCTGTGTACCATGTTTCATAAAGGTTTTTCGTAAATTTTTTCATCCACCGTATTTGTTTCACAGTTAACACTCAATATAAAAACACCATATGAGATGCCATTTTTGGCATATGATGTATATAAATTGCATTGTGTTTCCAGTTTGGTGTTGTTTAAATCGGGCATATATATTTATTTCCTTGTAAAAGAAAAGAACGCAGAAGGGGTGGGCTTTAAGGTTAGCATACAGTCGTCTGAATTTTTGGGTTGTTGAACAAGGTTTTAGAGGGAAACAATACAGCGTATCCCAGCTGATAGTAACACACAGCTGCCCTCCATCTATTTAAACATCAGAGAAAAAAACGTCTCTAAGCCCTGCCGTAACCGAAGCTTAACGAGCTTCCTGGAATCTGACTTTAACTTTATATAAGGTGGTTTTAGTCTTGTTTGACACCAAACGATAGATATAAAGTGACACACTGTGATTTATAGCCGTAAGGATACATGAGATGTGTCTATTTGGGGAAATGAATCAGTTGGCTTGTTAGTTTACTAATTTACTGCTTTCAAAATGAGAAATGTAACTGTGTATTGTATTGTTCTCTTTTGATCCTTAAAATTTTCTGTCTCATTCTGAAAGGTTGACTGGGATCTCTGATACTTTACATCTTTTTTCCATGAACTTGATTTCTCACATAGGTTTGCTAATGTTTATTTAAAATACAGATAATAAAATGTCACAGCAACTATTCTTCCTCTTGAATTTTGATTTATGCTTTTGAGTAACAGATAGCCATGTATATTCCCTCTCAGAGAAATTTTTCATCTATCTGATGGTGGCACCATTGCTTTGGATTGGCTAAGGAACTCTGATGGTAACTATTATTTGATTTACCTGAAATTAATGACCATGTACATATATCCTTTTATAGACATTTATGAACGCAAAGTAAAGGGTTAACTACATTTTACACCCTTCAGGTTTGAGGGTGATTTTCAAAATGGACTATGTGGTTCTAATTTTCTCGCATTGCACCCTTATGTTTTGAAATTGTATCAATTTACACCTTTTGCTCTTTGAATATCTAACCCTCTATTAATTTGATGAGTTTTTTGTCACTGTGGTGCAAATGTGGCTTAAACGTTAGCCCATATAGTTATCTCACACTCACTATGTCATCAATTTAATGAAGGATCAAGCAATCAATCCGACCAAATTCGTATTTTGATGCTTTATGGTGTTATATAAGAAAATTGAAACTTAATGACACATTTTGAAAATCACCCCAAGCTTCAAGGGCGTGTAATGTAGTTAGAACCAAATTATACTTACTTTATCATTTTAATTTTATGTTTCTGATATATATTCCTTGATTCCAACCCCTGTATATTCTAAAGCCCTATATACCCAACCCACTGAAAAGATTATTTTGGTTCTTCTCATAAAATAAAACCATTTTTTCATTGGTTACAAAAAGATTTTTCATAATCATAAAATGTATGCTTGTGACGGTGTCTTTACTTGGTATGTATTTATCATGCTCTTGTATGAAGTGCTATGACACTCAGTTGATTTCATGGTAATAGTAGTTATAGATTTTTTTTCTATTCTGATCCATGTGTATGCTTGTATTCCAGTTCTGGGAGATGCTTTTAGCACAAACAATGCTATTGACACCACCCCTATCGTGCTGGATTCCTGGATTAACCAGCGATTCTGAATCTCCTGTAAGCTTCATCTTTATTTCTTCATTACTTATTTGCCTTTTTGTACATAGAGAATTCCCCATATCCACATGAAGGGCTCTGGTTTGAAACTGGTGTCCCCTATCAAACCCTACAATTTAGAAGGTAGGAAATTCTTGCAAATAGCTAGATTAGATTCGTACTACAAAGAATTGAACCCCTGACTACGTGGGAGCAAGCTACTCAACTAAACCCTTATTGGTACTCAATTTCGTAGTGTCTTTAATTCTACTAGTTATTGTTCTGGTGTCTGTCTCTAGGAATAAAATATATGAACTAATTTAGTTGGTTTAAATAGAAATATTTGGTTTTAGTCAAGCAAGAAGTTAAAATAGTAAAATAAATATCTCAAGAAACCTGAAAAGCTGTTGAATCTTGGAATCTCAACTGGGTTTCTTTTTCTTCAGGAAAAAAGTCTTTTTAAGATAGGACCTACTACCACTTTCCCACCCTATCCCGATGGAATTTGAGCTAGAGCTCCCTGGCAGTTAAAAACTTAGTACTACATTGGGAACTTTAGGATCTTTGCAAGGACCTTTTTTTTCCTGTTGGTTATTATATGTCTGAAACACATACTAACTACAATTAGACCTGGCCATGGAAACATCAGTCCTAGTCTCAGCCAAAATAGGAATCAAATTCTCCAGGGTTTTTCAAACCAAAGTAGTTGGCCCAAACCATGCCATCCGATCTACAACAAGAGTGCACCCTGTAATAATGATAGATGTTGTACTGCCTACACCATTCCATAGACGTTGACATTAATGTACCCAGAAGTGGATCGGGCCTTTATGGTCGTGATTACTGAAGGAGAAGCGTCAATTGGTCTATCCCAATTTCTTGTAATGCGCTATAATGTGAGAGGTTTAAATCTTTTGAAGGAAAGAAATGGGTCATATTTCTGTGGAATTGCTATGGTAGCAATTTTGTGGGTTGTATAGGTGGAAAGGATTAGGAGGGTGCTTGAGAAGTAATTGGTGAGAAGGTGGAGGGCTTACAGAAAAGTGTTTAGTTGGGGCTTCTTTTTGAGCATCTGTAGAGTTGGAGGAGTTGTCCCTTTCTGTTAGGTCAGTTTGTATTGTCATAATCCAGTCCAGAAATGGGAAAGTAATTTTTGTTTTACCAAGATGTGATGTTTGGCACGTTGTCAGGCTGGCATTTCCAGT